CAATAGTCCACCACGCCGATTCCAATGCATTAACCGGCCATGAAGGAAATATCCACTTGCAGAAATTTTCCACAGTTGGTTCACGTGTGAGTAGTATATTCCGCGATAGGAAATTCATTCACAGCTAAAAAACATTACAGGGAGTTATTGTGACGTTTAACAGTTAAACACAGAGATACATTTCCACTGCGGTCCAGCATTTGAAACCATTCAATGGAGCGTAAATCCACTGATTCAGGAAGATGTCAGAAAGTTGCGCCGAAAAATTGTGTAGTTCACCATTTCTTGATGTAATTATTTGTACGATAAAACGAACGTCGTGGTAAAATATGTATGACAGTTACAAAATGTAGTTTGAGTTCAGGAAAATGGTAAATAAATGTGACAACGGATTAGAGACAAAAAAAGACTCTAACACGGTTCAGACCGCAAGACGCTAACTCTGAGAAAAACGAGTTGAATACTTAAAGTACATAAACTGGAGAGCGATGGACTGTCGTTGCATGCAAAAATGTAACATGAAACAATTTAAAGAATTTTCTCCAGGAGATCTCTGCCTCTCCGCTTGGAATATGTACAATTTGAAGTTTAGAAAATGAATATGTAAACTTGCCATCGCAAGATGTATCCATATACCTTAAGATGCCCCTCACCGATCTTCCTTTCCTCACACAACGTGTTTCTGACTACCCACATAACTTGTTCCAATAAAATTTAGGCAATAACTCGACACTTGTGTTTTTGGGAATCTCGCTTCAAATCTGAATGTAATCATGGATATGTATGAATATTCAAGACTTTTCGCACGCAGAACATTAAGTTGCCTTCAGCTTAGTTAGTTATAATTTGTGCCGCGCAAGAGTGCTAGCAGAAGCAGTGGTGTCCTATGAGGAAACATACTAACGAGGAAAGCCCAAAGGAAGTCGGACGATGTCTCCCCGATCGGAAATGCGGACCAGCAGGCCCCTGCGCAGAAACTTATCCTGCTTGGCCATCAAGACAGCGCAGGCTGTTGGTACCGTAATAGTCTAACTACCCAATAAGTTAGTTTGCCAGGAGTGTGTTGCAAGGAGATGAAGCTAATAACGCTAGGTTGGTATACAATAATAAAGAGGTCAGATGGAACAGACTCACTAACAATTGTTCTCTTTAAAATGGTTTGTCATTGGCCCAGGTCAGCGAATAAACAATAATCCAATTATGTTGGTCCAGGGGTCTTCTTCTGAACAGTTCCCACATATAATAGATTCCGAAGATGGGTTGAAATGTTTTGATACCAGCATTAGCACATGCGACTCGCGAATGACCGCTCCAAGCGCGACGGAAATCAGAAGAGAGTCGAAGCATGTGACCACGATTGTATTCTTTCATATTGTACAAGTTTTTGTAGTTTTTCCTATTCAAACAAAAACGATTACGCAATTGATGAAATACGTAGTGTTATAATGGAAGCAAAATAAAGGTACAAAACGTCACAGTACAAACATCTGCTAAGCAGCTAGGCTTCGTATGGAGTAGTCGTATTTTATGGTATGGATCACGTGACTCGGAGCAGCCAATCATTTGCTTCAGTTTGGTTTGTGCATGAATAGACTTCCATCAATCTGTGAATCAGTGATTGGCCGAAATCCTGACCAGACAGGACATGCTCATGTTTGGTCCGCAATCGTTTTGGGTTGTCGTTTTCAGTCGGAGCGACGTTGAGATGTTTCGGATTGCCTGCCTGCCAATACCCCCTCTTTGAGAATGCCCTTAGTTTGACTACAGCTTGGGTTTTTCTAAATGCCGAGTGAGGCCAAGACCTCAAGCACTTTAGAGGGAGACCGGTGTACCATTGATATACACTGAAGAATTTACTTCGTTTGATTTCATTCTGAGCGTGGTGGTCACTGCCCCTGAGTGCACTCTTTACTTGGGATAATGGTTACGCAACTTCCTGAAAATGCCTCGGTAGCATTCTTTCGTGCTGTCTTTCCAATTGCACCTGCTAAGCCTGTGGTACTGGCAGGGAGAGATAAGTCTGAGCGATTGCCCTAGAAGTGCTCAGCACAAAAGCAATGTGGTGTGGGCGGTTTTCTCGCGATCTGTTTACAACTTGACTACTATTTTGAGGTTGCATTTTATGCCACGTTAAACTGAGGGGGCTGAAATCATTGAATCACTAGCGTCGACCATAGGGTCGTTACCAGGTTACCGTTCAGCCCTAGCACTCTTTCGGTGCCTGGCTGCCATGCACGATGAAGGCACGAGGGCTGGGATACTACTGTAGTGGTTAACGGCCCTATGGAGTCTCTAGTGAACTGAACAAATTACTGGTGTAAGCCAGATACAAAGTCACAAAGAGAAAAATACAAGTAAATCTTGACTCACAGTTCAAAATAGGAGATTCCGTAGTTCCGTATTCCGTTGAACCACCACACAAAGAATAGTTCTATCTTCCTGGTATCCCAGATCTCCGGTGATCGAAATATTATCCCACAAGCGTGAATATATTAGTCCAGCGTTTGTAGCTGAAATGTTTGTTCACGTTTAGTATTTATTATCCCACAAGCGTGAATATATTAGTCCAGCGTTTGTAGCTGAAATGCTTGTTCACGTTTAGTATTAGCAGCGGTCAGATATAGCTAACCGGCGGTCACAACAACAGTCACTCAGCAGAAGTCTCAAAGTCACGTTGGAGCCAACGCGCGGGCGGTAGCGGTTTGTATTTCAGTAAAACAAACTTTTGTACAGCGATGTGGCTGGTAATGATGGGAAAAAAAGATGATACTGAGCATGAAAAAGAGCAGTTTACAAGTGCTACACTACCAGGCTACCCAAACCTAGACAGGGGAAGTCGAGTGGCAGAGGTCGGGTTCGAACCACGGACCTTCCGGTCAGTGAATTCACGCCCTAACCACTTGGTCCATCTCGCCCCCCGACCATAGGGTTAACCAAACCCTGGCAGGCGAGGTCCAATCTGGGTCCTGTCCAGTTTGGTCCAGTAGCCGGGCACCCACAAATCTCGGGCTCGTGAACCAATCGTCGGTCATCGTGCTGGGCGTGAAGCACCCACATTCTTTGTTGATCAGACCGACAATTTGATTAAAACTTCAGTATGACTGTGGGTGATCATGAAGGACTGATGGAAAATATAGCGAGAAGCCCTGATCCTGTAATATCTGAGCTTAGCTATTGCCGGTATCTTCGAAACCATGGCCGTGAAGAAGTTTTTGGAGTATGAATCCTGTGAAATTCACGTTCAACTGCCCTGAGTTCCCGCATCGGTACTGTGTGATTCCAACAGATAGTTTACATGTACCCTCCTTTGCGGCAACTGTCTCCTGCGTCAGTATCCGCCGGCTTCTTAAGTTTCTAACAAACCCCAGTCACAGATTAGGCCAGGATACATAGGGACTCAATTTCAATTTCGTATGCTAGGTTGTAACCGAATCCTCCAAATCTGACTTGGTAGTGTCGGTCAAAGTTCTCGATTGACCTCTAAGACGGTACCGCTACTCCGGGTGTGGCATAGAAGGAGGTTCTAGTTCGTTCCGCTCGTTTTCAAGCAGATTAACCGAACCTCTAGAGTGGTCGCCATTGTGGTAGTTGCCTGGGACGTGGGATACGAAAGAAGCTCCCCCTAAACATTGAGTTTGATCGTTTGTTGGGTCGTCGAATGTTCGGATAACAAAATATAAAATAGATAATCGTCTAGCTGTGACACCAATTCGGTGCCTAGCTGCCATGCCACTCGAAAGAAGCACGAGAGCTAGGATACTACCAAGTTGCCCAAGTCTAGACAGGAAAGTTCAGATTTGAAGGTCGGATTCGAACCACGGACCTGCCGATGAGTCTATTCGTACTCTAAGCACTCTTCGGTAAACGATGTTTCAGCATACGCAATACATGGCCTAACCAACGCAGTTTCTGGTGCTGGGCATATTCTTCAATGAGTGCCGGTTGTACAAACGAAAAGTCACTTCCTAATTGCCTTGTTATGGATACGCCGACACCGACCTACACGAGCTATGGTTCTGAGGCAACGATTGTCGAACGCCTGAAGACGTTTCAGTTCCGCTGCCCGAACAGACCAAGTCTCAACCGTACAGAGCGATTGCTCAGCCGTAGCACCTTTTCAATGCCTAACTGCCATGCTACCCGAAGATTGCACGAGGGCTGGATACCGCCAGGTTGCCCAAGTCTAGACAGGGGAAGTCGAGAGGCAGAGGTGGGGTTCGAACCACGGAACTTCCGGTCAGTAAATTGGCGCTCTAACTACTTGAGCCATCTCGCCTCCCTCTCTCTCAACCGTACAACAAAACAGCCGGTACTGTAGCCTAATACTTCCTCTGAGGTTCAGGGATATACTGCCTTGGTAGATGTCTCAAATTAACAAACGCCACCCGAGCCTTGCAAATTCGTTAATGAACCTCATCTGTCTTTCTACAGCACCCAGTAATGTGAGGATACTTCCGCCCTAACGCATCCCGCTGCAGCAGCCTCTGGATGTCCAGAGGTGTGCAGCTGGAAGCGAGTGGATATCGATTGGGTGGTTAGCTTAACCACTGTGCTTGTATACTGAAATCTTGTTTCTGATACACAGCACACATCGATGTCAAGCGAGTTCGGTGTGTGAGCAAAAGCAGCCTGTTGTCCTGCTTGCTTCAGAGTACGGAGATTCGAAGCATCCAGACAGACTGGGTGTCGATGCTTGAGGATTGGTTTCGAGTTGTCTGAGGATGTCGGTGCTGGATGACGCGCAGATTTAGCTTGTAAAATCCATGCAGGACGAACGAAGAAAAAAGTGTGTGAAAGAGAAAGAAAGAAGACATCGGCGGTAGTCTTTTTCCGCCCAACTGTATGCAGCAATTAGAGCGACCCAGCTGATTGCACCGCGCGACGGCTGATGTGGAATGAGTTCATTTGTATGTGTATAATTCATGCTTGAGGATGATTAGGGTCCCCAACCAAATCCTTTGATTCAAACCTGATTGCAAGGTGGCGCTATTTGGCGGAAAATGCAATTACATTTCAAATTTTACGAAACAATTCGCCACACTTTCCAACACCAACCTGAAGGACCAGCGGACTGTGTTCGTCGGACCTCTAACCGTTGACCAACTTGGAGGCGCTCGTTAACTGTTTTGGTTCCTTCGTACCCCACAGTTTTTAGTCACTGGTAATAACAACCGACAGAAAGCCACAGTTGAGCACAGTAATTCTCCCGAAGAAGACAGTCACGATGAAGAAAGATGCTTGTGCATAGAGTCGTTATTGACGAATAACACTGCTGTGGACATGTGGGAATGTTGCTCTAGTTCGCTTTTTTAATATCATTTAATCGTACTGCCTCCTTGTTACATTCTCCATTTCCTAGCCGTTACTATGAACTGGGGCGCTGGTGCAAACTGTTTTCTTCTCAAAGCTGTGCATAACTATGGCAAGGACTGGGAGCTGGTGAGCACAGCACTACAAATGATATCTAGGACGTTCTTGAGGGATGAAAATCTTCAGGATCTATCAAGACAAGTTAGTGGTCGAGCAAGTGGTGATGTGATTTTCTCTTACTTTAGAGTTGCTCACTTCAATATAATTACTTGATTGCCTCAACAAGACAAAAGTACGTTCCGCGAAATCCCATATGTGGCATATTACTGTAGATATCCTAATGAATTGGATGAAGCCAAGCTTCTCAAGCTAGCGATGGACTACTACACGACACAAAGGCGCGAGAAACTACATGCGGCTCGGCTGGAGCTATTGAAACGAATCAAGTGCGTTGCATCCGACCCCATTGCCTCTAAAACGATTCCAACTTAAATTAGAATTGCGGAGGATGATTCCGAAAAACTTCGGGAGGGCCGTTATTCGGAGATTCCCGTGTCGCGTTTAACCATGTAAGTTGGTTCGTTTTAAATATAGTGCTTTTTAGCTACCGCAAACGTTGCAGAGCTTTTGGAATCACTGATGTGATTGGGCAGAAGTTGGGTTTGGAACCCCTCTCACCGGGTACAGAAGCAGAGAACCAGGCAATTAGGGACAGCCTGGCTGTACCCGAGTTATTCAATGCTGGAATTGGAGAGGAAGTGACGGATACTCATGGGGGCACATGGTATCCGCTGCGGGCCGGCATTCGCGAAGTCTTTTCCGAAACGGAAAAACGAACCATGAATGCTTCTATGAGTGAATTCCTTCGTGCACAAGGTACACGTTGCAAAATCACCATATTATATTTTAAACTAGAATCTGGCCTTTTTGTGTTCATCACCCTACTTTGCAACCTACTTTACTGGGGTCCAATCAGGCGCCTCAGCTTAACTTATATTTTGTTGCTAGTTCAGAATTTTCGTGAACTTTCTGTTGAACGAAACTCTACAACACTCACTCAACTGATTTGGGGATTCCTTCGCCATTTCAATAGTTCTCCCAAAACTGTTGGTAATCTATCAGCTCACAGGTTATAGCATTATAGAATTTATTCTCGTTAACCTCCTAAAGACGGTATCAATCATTTGGGAGTAAATCTTGTGCAGTTATTCATCATTATGTATCGAGAAAGTCTCGTACTTAAAAATAAACAATCTCCGAAAGCATGGTTTACCGCTCAACAACCCAGTGATCCGTCTTTACCCCCAAAAAGTGGGGAAAAAGTATGAACCACTCCTTTCGAATAGAACCTTGGTTACGAAAGTTCGTCTGATGATGTGAATAACGAAGTTTAATCTGTTCAGCGGATCTTGAAACCACTGATTTGCATCGATGCCTTTTTCAGTGCTTGGCAAGAAGAATGTGATTATCGTGGGGCCTTCACAGGCTACCAGAAATAATGGGGTACGCCTGAGTTTGTATGCCCGACAAGCACCCATCAGGATGCACTTTTTAGCTCATTCAGTTAAATCGTGCAATCACTTGTCACCAACAGGGGAAACCAGCCGATTTTTCCCTTTGACCTCTATTTTTCAGCGTGCGCGATAAGGTTCATATAGTGGTTGCTTGATTTCTCCCTCTCAGCCCTTATTGAAGCACTTGGTAGGCTGATGTGATCTGTCTGTAACGATTTACCTTACAATTTCAGTGTGGATATTGTCGAGTCTACGAATAGTTTTTTAAGGATAGTCGGATGTCAGCCGACAGGTATGGTCAACCTCGTAGTCGGGACACATTGTCACTAAACCCCTCTAGGATACACTCCCCTGTCTAGCCCTTTTGGGAGAAAAGCTGGGATCATTTGGATCCGAATGTGGTGGATAGTTATGAAAGCTCTGCTAGTTTACGGGGTGAACCTTCCAGCAGACTGCCCATGTGAATTCCCAACTTTGTAGTTACGTGCAAGCTTTGTTTCAGACTAAAATGCTTTTAGTGTGTGTAGCATGGTTTCTCACCAAGACAGTCCTACCGTCAGGCTTTTTAACTGATGGTATTTCATTTAACTGAGCACTATAAGC